CCCCCCCCCCTTCTATTTTTAAGATGCAGGTTGGGGCATCAGGATGCTAAAACCTGGAAACAAATTTGAGTTGGTTAGCTTCTTCTGGTGCTAATTTTTACTGATGAATCTACTTAATCTTCTTAGTAAACAATGCCTGCTGTTTTATCTCCAACACAGACACAGTTGTCTAACAAGTGCTGGATCACTTTTATGGAAGAGATTTTGAGCATTTACGAGAACACATGAGCATAAACGTAAAACATTTACTCACTTTTTGTGTTTATCGTTCAACCGATTTGAACATATTTTGATAGTAAACGAGGAATCTGGAATTAAAGATGCTCCCGATAAGAACTGGCATTTGATTAATTCTGGTGCAAAGCCTCACATTAGGCGCCACGCCCTGACACGCTGCAGTTCCCAACCTGAAAAACTCTCGTCTGCTCATTTCACAGCAGCTCTCAGATATGTGCTCCCAGGAATCACCTCTCTTTGCCCTTTCGCCCAAAGGACTCAGTCTTTCCAGAGCTTCAAGGTGGTAAACAAAGGAAATACGAAGCATAATAAGTCGGCAGGTGCTAGCCGGCTGCCAAAGTGTCTAGATCTCATTAAGATAGGAACAATTTCTTTGGAAATGTATTGGAGTTTAATATGAGTCTTTATTTTAATCTTAAACTCCAGGCATCTGGAATTTATATTAGTTTGCATCAACTTCTTTGGAAAGGTTAGATTTTCRCTGGCAAATCAATGTTGTAATATAAAGCAATCAAGCTTTACATATAAGAAAAACTTACTTCTCTTCATTTATCAGACACTGACTGCTGCAGATGAGCTAATGTGACGGCCCTTTGCTCCGAGGAAAAACAACTCTTTTCCCACTTGACTGAAAGAGAGGAAGCAAAATTGTGAATGTGTGGGAGTTGGTTGGAGAGATGCTGTTTCCCTGGGAGCAGGCCAAGGACCTCTGTCTCTGTTTGTTCAGATGACATCATCTTCCTACTCTCCCATATATCAGACACTCCGCTGTCCTCGGCGCTAGTCCTCATTAATTACACACACAGTCAGTGATTGGCTTGAAATTTCCCTGAAGCTGCAAGGTCCAGCTTTGCACGGCATTGAGTCCTGCTCACAGATCTTCTGACCTAAAACCTCCTGAGCTCTGCCTCATCTCATAGATGGCACTGATTTCCACAGCGTCTAGCACAGCAGTCTGGAGCAAGTGGTGCATTGAAGAGAAAAGTTTCTGTTTAACTTCTTAACTGTGCTTGAAAAGAAAAAAAAAGAAAAGAAAAACTTGACCACGTTCCCAAACACTCCCACCTTCCCAAAGCAGTGCATGTAAAAGTCATTATATCCAGCTAGAAAATGAGCTGCACTGTAAAATTATCAAGGTGACACGCAATATGTTCTGCAACAAGCCAGATTTCCCCTAAATTACATAATGGCACAAGAAAAAAAAGATCAAATTATTATGTTTTTGGCATCCTGTGTTAATGTTTTGCTATTATTTTTGAATTATGAGTTGTTGTGCAGAAAGCTTTGCCACTTTTAAGTCCGCTTCATGTCTTCTATTATCACGTGGAGTGTGGCCTACAGTTTGATGTGTCCCGGGCTCCTGGCCATCTCTGATCCCACTCCTTAGACCTCTGTTTGTTTTGGGAGCGTTGGCTACCCCTGACCAGCGGATAAACCCCAAGCTGTGTATTTTTGACTGTCAGGAGCACTTTGTGGGACCCCGTGAAATGGATTCGATTCAGGGACTTCTGCTCAGTGTCACAGCACAGCATAAACACCTGKTGATGTCCAAAACGGTGAGGGCGTTTTTCTGTTTTTACACCCRTCGACCTCTGACCACAAACTGACAGAAATCCAAGGGCTCCACTTAAAAACAKCCTCTCCTCTGGAGAGTCCACCTCTCAGTGAGCTCCTGCTACTGATTTATGGAACAATCAATGGGCCATAGTTTATACAGGAAATACCAATATGGGTGAACAAGGGAATTAGATCATAATAAGGCGCTACTCAAAAGAAATAGTGGAGAGAGGTGCGGGGGAAATAGAGGTGAATTACAGTGGATGAAAAATATTGGGGCCAGAAAATGGAAATGAGGTATTAAAGTTGGCGAGAAATAGTAAATTTAACAGCCTGAGAGTTTTCCCCGTTCAGGAATGTGACAGACATAAGCTGGAGTTCCCATGGCTTCACTGTGAGGTATGGATGTGGAATGGTGCTCATTCCAATTACGCTGTTTACTTTGCGCTCTCCTGATCATTGGCGCGTCTGTGCGTAAAAGGCGCACGGACACAAGCGCACCTGGTTCCGTTTTTTAACGTCTTTTATGGAAAGTCTTTTAGATATTTTCTGGAATGTTAATTTGTCCTAAAAGGCTTGCTTCTTGTTGACTGGCTAAATTCCAAACACCTGCATTTATAGTGGAACAATTGAGAAAATGGAAGTCATTATAGGAACAAAGGTGGATTTTAATAATAACACTCACTGTTTTCTGGTGGACCATTGATCATGTTGAACTTGTAAATTTCTTTGGCGTAGTACTCAGTCTCTGTGTTATCCTGCCCGCAACTCTGCTGCCGGTCTCTCCCGAGCTCCTCAATGAGCTCCCTGGTGCTGTTGTAGAGGGCCAGGACCTGAAACGGTACCTGGCTCGGACCTGTTGCCTGAGGCGGACTGGTCATCCGGAGTTTACTCAGAATTTGTCCCCGGACAGCCTCCACTCTCTTTTTCTTTATGTGGTCGATGTCCACGGTGGTGCAAGTGGAGAGCGAGAAAGTCATTGTCACACAACTTGAGAGGAGAAAAAACAGAAGTGCTTTGCCCAGATTCATGTTTCACTCTGAATTCACTCACAGCCAAAAAGCTTGTCAAGTAAATAAGGAGGGGAAAAAACAGCAACACAAAACTCCGATTTGACTAGAATCCCTTTTTATACTTTCATTTAGGTCGTGAGTGAGTTCTTTTCCTGGATGAATCCCATTTTTCTCTAGTGCTATGTCATCTTTGCGAAGTGCGCATTTGGATGAGCGCAAATCCGTGCCATTTTGGAAAACAACCTTAACTCTTCATCAAAACTCGTAATTGCACTCTTCATCACCCCTGATCTCATTCGAGCATCTCTTCCCTGTTGTTATGTCTCAAAAGGAGCCAGTCTTTGCGCCTCGGTTCACTTCCTCCATTCCACTGGACTCTTTTCTTTCACCCACTTGTGAGGAGTCAGTGCGCCTCTGATGTCTCTCCGTAGTCCAACCTCAGACACACTCGGGCTCCCTGCGCTCTCAACTCCCATTTTTATATCGCCCGTGACGTTTCTGAGGGAGGAGCGGCTCATTCTAAACCTTGTTCGGACAATGAGATCGGCCCTATCATGAAATGTGTTTTTAAAAAAATACTTCGAGTTCACTTGTTTTCGTCGGAGCTGTTTTTCAGTTAATACATGTCGATGTGGGTTTCGCAATACCTAGAAGTAGAAAACTCCTTGGATTGTGCGCAAATGCCAAAATTAAAAGACAAACATCTGGGAACAAATGATACAAGTGTTTTTTTTTGTTTGTATTCTTATATATTTTATATAACCTTTATTATATATAACCTTTATTTTGACAGGTAAGTCAGATGAGAACAAATTATTTTATTTTTATTTTATTTTATTTTGAGGAATGTTAAATTGAGTGTTGGGCACTGGGTACATAATGAAGTTGGTAATTAAGTTAATAGCATGCAATAAACGTTTTATATTAAGCAAATAATTTAATGTAGATCAAGCTTGATGCTGCGTAAAAGCCCAGTCAGCTTCGCTGAGATGTTGCGTACCGCCAGTAAACAAAAACAGGCACAACACTGACATCTAGTGGAACATTTTGGTAACTACAATTCATTTGAAACATTCGTGGTTGGGGGTTAAGCTGGTCTCCTTTTAATCAGGGGTCTGTCTGAATGTGAAGTTGGAAAAACTATAATATCTTTCACATATTTTATAAGCAGGAGGATTTAGTTTAATGTTTTGGTCCTCTGGCCCCTCACAGATCAAAAGCGTGAGCGGTGCTAAGCAACGCTTGTGATTCAGGAAGACGCTACATCCGAGCTGCAGCGATGAGGAGAGACACCGACGATCACTTTCAGCTCGAAGACGGGGCAGTGGCAAGAAATGTAAGTGTTTTGTTTTGGGAGGTAAACATGCGAGTACAGAAAATATATTTCGTATTTACTGCAGTGTGTGTTTTCGCTGAGGCTATCGTTAGCATAAGAGTAAACAACAACATTACATACCTAAACTGATTTATTTTAATTGTCATATCATACTCGCTGTTTAAATCGTCAGCCATCGTCAAGGATGCATCATTGTTTGATAGTTTTGATGAATCGCGGTTAAGAGATTTGTTTTTGAGTATTCAGCTAAGGTTAGCTTTGTTGTTAGCCATGCTAGCTTAAAGTCCCTGCATGTAGAAGAGCCTGCTGCAATTTTGAGTTCTGTTTTTAACATTTTTCAAATATATTCTGATAACAGGTTAATGTTTATTGTGTTTTTAAACCTTCCTTGACTTGTCAGAGCTGTTTTGATGCCAGAGTTGTAAAGTAACTAAGTACAAAGACTTTGTTACTGTATTTCTGTAGAAACTTTGGTTATCTGTACTTTACTTGAGTAATTATTTTTTCAGACTACTTTTTACTTTTACTCCTTAYATTTTTACACAATTACCTGTGCTTTCTACTCCTTACATTTTTAAAAGAGGTACGAAGTAGAAAGTCATTTATCTTATTTTGTTTCGGCTTGTTAGTGTTAAAAAATACTATCCTGAAAAATTGTGCATCGAGGGTAGAGAGAATTTAATTGTGGTTGGATGAGAAGTATAAATGTATACCATTCTGATCCTGTGTTATTTTTTTTACACAACCCATCACAGCTGCATGTTTTTAGAAATAAWTTTTTTTGGAGAATTCACCTTCCAATAAATGTGTTTTGGAAAATCTAACCGCTCATTTTTATTGAATACTTTTACTTTTAATACTTAAGTATATTTTATGTCAGAAATGTACTTTTGACACTTAGGTACAAAAAAATCTGATACTTTAAGCCTTTTATTCAAGTGATATTCTTAGAGGAGACTAACTTTTACCAAAGTGATTTTATGAGAATATACTTGTACTTTTACTCAAGTATCACTTTGAGGTACTTTATACAACACTGATGTCAAAGGAAAATCCATTCATTAGTGGTAATTTTAAAATTTCTACTTTGCATTAATTTTTGCAGAAAATAAACTACAAGTGTTTACAGTGTTGTTGCTTGCTTTGGTTAAATACAGCTTAAAAAGGTCATTAGTATTTTTACATCTTGTTTATGTTTGTCATTTCCTTTGCCTGGTAACTTTGAGTTATGAGTGGACAATTAATTCAATATGCTGACTAATGACAAGAATATCAACCTAATTTATTCACACTAATTTGTTGTTGCCTGTTTTCAGAGGTCTGTGGAAATTTTGGAATATCTCTTTTAAGAAATGTTAAGTTTAAATTATTATTCTACCTAATGCCAATCAAGTCTTTTAAGAGCTCTGAACCCCTTTCTTCTCTTTTCTGAAGACGGTTACCCTGCCTGTACCCAATTACCTAAACCCAAGTGTAAAAGATCCAGCTRGATATGAGCCCTGACAATCTTTTTACTGTTTTGTTTGCTGGTAGACTAGCTTTGTGTGTAAAATACTGTTGCATTACAAGCTTCTGTGCAAAACAAAAATGTATTTAGTAATTATAAGCTTTGAAAAATGAATCACAGTTGTTATCACATTGCTTAGGTTGCCAGGTCTGGACGAAGAGCTCGTCTCACAGCCGACCAATCGTCATTTGAAGAGTTTCGCCACACAAGAAAGTCATCTACCTCGGCTTCAGCAGGAGAAGTATGCAATCTTCAGATAACAGATGTTTGCTTACATGTTACAGTTTACAATAAGTGTTATAAATATAGATTGTGTTTTCGTCTCATACATGAATTACAGGATGATGAGGAGGAGGAGGTGGGTGGTTTGACTTTGCACAACTTTTGCTTCTGTTTGAAATGCACTCCAACTTTCCACTATTTTACTATTGAGATATTTGAACTTGGAATTTTGTACTTGTTTGCTTCACGTAACTAGTTAGTTTTCCAAAATGTTCACTGCCTCTCAGCTACCAGCACACAGTGGATGGAGTTAAATTTTTGAAGCTGATATTTATCTTGTCCTTCTTCTCTTTCAGTAGATTTTAAAGATGCTCATTACAAAGTCATATAAATAAAGTGAGATTTAAAACGTGCACAATGTTTTTTTTATGTTAAAACCATTTTAAAATAGTTAATTTGTCCTTAAATAGAAACTTGTAATGACACCTGTTTGTTTACCCCTGAAAACAGCTGAAGGCACGAAAAACATGTCAAATTTTAAACTTACTATCCATTTTTGTTTGTCTACAAAGAGCTGGTAATATAGACTCATGTGACTCAGGCTTCCWTGTGGTTTTCAGCAGATTTAGTCCAGTTTATCATTTATACTGAGTGTCGACCTGCATTTTACAATTGCATATCAAACTGCACCATTAAATGTAGTTCAGAATACTCTTTTTTTACGTTTGATTTCATACTTTGCAATGAGTGGCTTTAAAACACAAAATCTGTGCTCTAAAACTTTCAGAATAACTACTTTTTTCCCAATATTTTTTGTATGTTTGTGTTAGTTGGAAGTCACATGAGGTCTCTTTATGCACACTGTACAACTTTTTCAGGGTAGCACAGCACTGTGATGGTCTTCTTAAGACCCCAAGACTCGAATTTTACACATTTTACATGTTATGGCTGAAGAGATAATATAAAGCTTTTTTTCAGTAAAGAGAAACATGTTGGACATTGTGAATGTGAATTTATAATAGGAATGAGAAATAAATAGAAGTCATATTGAGGCCAATGGCTGGCATGTTCAAAATAACCTCACTTTGTCCTCTCTGGCATTTCTGGAATGAGTCCCATCTCCTGCTTTGGCAAACTGTAAACCACCCAACATTCCCAAAGTAAAAAAAAAAAGAATAAATTCCAGCAATGCTTTTGCTTTAGGCTAACTTCCCAAATTAGGCCAACTTCCCTAATGTATGAACTGATATTCTCACGCCCTCTCCGACCTGCCTGTGTGCATGCAATATATTTTTCTGGGGTGTCGTTCAATTTAGCGTTTTTTTTTTTTTTACTTTTCTCTTTGCCATCTTTGTTTATCATTCTTGTCCTTTTTCTGCCTTAAATACCCAACTGATTGGTCACATTCTTGACATCCCTTTAAGAAAAACATCACACAAAAAAAAAAACATGCGTTTATAGACTCATAAGGTTTGGCCACCACAAGTTCCTTGCCCCAGAGACCGTCAYAGCATCCTAAATTAGAAACCACGAAGGCTAAGCTAATTGTTCCAGCAGCCCAAACTATTTTACTACAACTATGAGGTTCATATTTGGTCATGAAGATTTGTGGGCCAAGGATTGTTTTGTTTCTCAGGACATTTAAGGTCCTCTCCATTTTTGTTCAGTGAAAAAAAAAAAATGTCAAAAATGAATTTATTTCCCTCAAAACACTTGACCTTATTATCTTGTCTCTCATGAAAACTATTTGTTGTGGGAAACACCAAACATCAAACCACAGAGGCTTCCCATCAACCGAAGGGTTTCTGTCAATTTTCCTAGGAAGCCCTTTGCCGCTGTAAACATTTCTGTTCTTACTAAAGAGACAGTTAGTAATTATATAAAGTCAAAGGAGCTCGTCCAGTCTCAGCTCTCTGGTTTAATATTGTACACTGAAGCAAAGTGCCCCTCCCCACCGTCAGCCCTGTTTAATGTTGACAATCAGATTAATAAATGGAGTTGGTAAAAGAAGCAGCCATGAATGATTATTTCCTCTTTCTTCATAAATGAAGGAAATTTGTCACAAACACTCTGTCCTCTCCAGACCCAATTTAGTAAAGAGAAATGCTGAGCCTGTTTTTTCTTCTTCCCTAATTCATTTGTCTAGTSTTCACCCATGTGCACTTTAAAGGAATTCATTCATTCAAGTGTTGCTCTCATGGTCCAGGTCTCAGGATCAAGATACAGACGTCGCTATTTTTTTACAGTGAAAGAAAAGGGAAGAGTGTGTATTTATTTCTCCCCCTTCTCTGAAACTATTCCAGGGTCAAACTGTTCCCACACTCCTTTTCATTATTATCGTCTAATAACACAGACAGTATTTCAACTTATAGATATGAGAATTAGAACATGTTTAAAGAAAATTTGAAGGTTCAAAATGTTATTGCCCTAAATTTCTATAAAACGTTGTAATAAATAAAAAAAGAAAAATGCCTATATTTTGATGTATGAAGTGTAAAGAGAACAAAGATTAAAAATAATGTTAAGGCTGCTACCATTGACTCTCATGGTCACATTGACTGCCAGTGTGAGGCAGAAATAAACACAGACTGAGAAGTAAGCCTCAAGTAAACAGTTGCTGCTCAAAAACTGCAAGTCGACTCTGAGATTTTTAACCATTCTGATCGTCACACGTGAAATTTTATGTTTATTCAGTGTTTTGTTTAGTAGATATGACAAGTTAAAAAGATCTTTCTATTCCAGTTTTGAGGAGAATAATTTGGGCTAAAATATACTTGAAGTCGAGTGATTTTAAATAGCTTTACTTTATTACATCTGCGGTAAACAAGAGGGCATACTGATGAAGTGACACTTGTAAAATCTAATTGTGTGACTGTTTATTAAACATTCACATTGTTGGGATCATTTTTTCTATTGTATTTTTTTCTGCAACTATCTTGTTCAACAATTTTTGTCAATTTTTATAAGGTTTACTTTTTATATATATATTTTATCATCAATTTATATGAAAACATTCGTTTCCTTCAGGACGATTTGTCGATGACTTTTGGTATTTCCACAATTTATATGTTTTGCGATATTTACCTTTTTCGGCCATGTTTACCTCATTGAAAATGAATGGATCTGTTTTCAACATCCTTAAAATCCTTTAAAAGAATCATAAATCTTTACTGCACTTTTTAAATTTGTTCTGGTTCTGCTTTTTCTTTTACTTTGTGCAAATTTCAGCTTCCTTCGGCTTCTATTTTGCTGATTTTAGCCTTTTCAACTTTTTTTTAGCTATTTCAATCTTTTATTCTTCTGCTAATTCAACTATTTGTGCTTCTTTCAGCTTCTTTCTTCTGTTTTAAACTGTTATTGATTCTTTCAGCTTCTTTCTGCTAATTGAAGCTGTTTTTGTGTTTTTAGCTTTTTTTCTAGTTTGAGTTTTCTTCAGCTAAATTGACCATTTTGTGTTAATTTCAGCTTCTTACTGCCTTATTCAACAAGCGTGTGCCCCATCTGTTTCTTTGTGTTAATTTCAGCTATTTTAGCTACTTAAAAAATATTTTAGGCTAGTTTCAGCTTTTTTTTCCTGATAAGCAGCAAAAATCACTGAGCATTAGACATGTCTTGTTTGCAGATTTTTCTTTAGTCTTATAAAACAGAAAATACCATCCTCTCATCACCTTATTTGCAAAGATGTTTTGTCATGATACAAAAATCCTATTTTATAACGCCGTTTATTGCTAAAACTTTCTGTTTTTTGTGGTTTTCTGTTCTATAAATAAAGCTTAGTCCATATTAAAATAATTTGCAAATCGGGTTCAACTGTCTTCTATTTGAGTAAAACGACTCCCAGTTAAACTGTTTACTGATAAAGTTGTGTTTTGCTCCAGGGCGCACCTTCTAAACCAACCCGGAGACAAGGTGGCTGGGCCGAGGAAAGCTCTGGCTCTGGTTCTGCCAAGTACGTATCGTCACCTTTTCCCCCAATCTCCTGTGGCAACATTTAAAGTGGGGGGCAGCAAGCTTGTGTTATGTGTTATTAATGGACTCTCATGCTGTTGAATGAGCTTATTTATCAGTGCATATTTGGCACTCGGGCCGTGAATCAACAAGGTTAGAGGGAGCCTGTCTGAGCCGGCAACTCTCCATTCGTCTTCATCTGCGAGCAAGGCGGTAATTGACATGGTTAATGCATCAGCCACAGGAGGGCACTGTTAGTCAGCTCGCCACTTCATCACCAGGGTTCACGCCACTTCATCCCCCCCCTTACCACCGCGCTCTGCTTTTTACTCGGGAACAACATAGAAAAATTCATAAAAACATTCAAAACAGATGGAAAGTGTTTGCCAGGAGCTTTGATTTGCAACAAGCAAATCTAAATCGTGGTACCGCACATGACTCACCGAACAATGCTTTCTTCCTCCTGTCACAATGTGCCTTTTCCTCAGTCTCTGAGGAGCTTAGAGCACAGTGGATGAAATGAACAGGCAGAGTCAGTGGTGCTTATTTGCGTAGTTTACTGCACCACCAGTGCAAGCAGGGGAAAAAAAAACAGCAATAGATCTTTTCTTTTACGCAGAAGGTCACGGTGTCGCATCTCCGCCTTTGTGTAACCCCCGCTTGATACCCAGTCTCAAAAGTGATTCAAATATAGGAGGTTTAAAAGGGGTTTGCATGTGCATTGATCCTTTCTGAAACAAAGTAAGTAATGGTCCCCACTGGAACCGGCAAGGACTTTTCCTTTCAATGTCACCCCTCATGCTCAATCACCACTGCCCTCCTCCCACTAATCCCAGCGCAGAAATCCCTGGATTTGTCAATCTATCACTTCTAATTGACACTAAATGATCTGTCAGTTTATTGATGAACCTTTGAAACCAGGTTGTCACAATATATTTTATCCCTAACAACTTTTTCCAGACAGTTTTACCATGTCTATCGCTTTGCCTTACATGAGTCTTAATCAAGGAGCCTGTAATGTGTCTTAAGTGTCGCCACCCCCGCCCCTCAGACAGGACACTGTCCAAGGGCAGGCAGGTGGGCTCCCTTAGCTCTCTGCCTTGCCCGTTTCGACTCAGGTCCATTTATAGTTTTCAGTGTGGTCTCTGGCTGCATTTGAAAAGATAAAAAAAGCTGGAACAAACATGATCTGAGACTCATTGTGTCTTGTAGAGTTTCTTTTTTGAGTTGTGTTTGATTTAATCATGCCTATCAAAATGTGAGCATCAAAGAATGAAAAAGGACTAATACACAAATAAGTGACCACTAGGGGGCAGTACTTAACAAGATAAACTGGGAAAATGTAAAAACAGGTTTTGTCCGCATCCCAGGGTTATGTATGTATCTGGTTATGTAGGTATTTTCAGTTTTTATGCTGCGGTCAAAGAGTCAAGTAGAGTTTATGAAGACTGAAAAAACAGAGATTATAAATTCCTCAGGGACTAATTTTACACAATTTCTGATATTAGAAAAAAAGAAGATATATGAAAGAGTTTTGAAGTTACCACAATGTTGAAAAGAAAACCAAAAAACATTATTATCTAAAAACTGTGCTTTTGTTTGATTTACAGATCATCAAGACGACCACTTGAAGACCTGGAGGAGTAAGTAGAKCCATCCTTAGTCACTGTTTGAGTTAATTATTGAATTTTGATGGCTTTTACCATTATTGTGTCTATTAAAGGAGACATTCTAAAAAGTTTTTCCACGTGTTTCACTTGATCCTACAAAGTAGTCTGATTAGGTTGCGGTTAGCTTTTATCGCGGTCTTCCTGTAATTTTTCCTTCTTGTAATTATTTCGTGCCCAGAGCAGACTCAGCATGTGGGCAGGCAGGTTGAGCGCACWGTCATGCTTCACAGCTGGAGCTTGGTGCCGAGTGGCTGTAGTCAAACAGACTTGATGGCGTTAACTTGAAGAATATATTTTCTGATGTACTTGTACCACAGGTGTTTTAGTATTTGAACTGTGCATCTGGGATTATTTCTTAAATAAATACAGTTTCTCACAGAAGCCTTGTGAGATGATGGTGTTCTAAAGTAACAGCCAGGTTGTAAAAAAAAACCTCATGTTTCCTACCTATAATTAAGAATAAACAAAAACAGGCTCCTCATCCGAATAACGTCCTGAAGCTAAGCTCACTCTGCTTCTGATAGTCTCGCGCCATCAGGTTGGGTTTTGAAAGCGTTAAATGATTCATCCTCTTCCTGTCTCTGTAGCCACCGCCTGCGACCGCAAACTCCCCAGGGATCAGATGATGAAGGAGGTAAGAGCACCCTTGCAGTACCCTGCTCTTTGTGTCTTCTCACGGGCAAAGAGGAGTCCTCCAGTGCCTCTCCCGCACATTTATCCTCTGAAAGTAGAGCAKATAAGCCAGCAGTCAGATCATTGCTTTTCACTGATGCTCAAACCATAATTYACCCCGGTTCAGCCTGAACTCATGTTAGAAGGCTGCCTTTGACCACCGATCGTGTGGCCAAGTGTACGCACATTTTCCTGATCAAATAACAAATTTTGTGCTGGTTAAAATATTTGTTGGCCATAAATGTAAACATCCATTTGTCTATTCGTTTTTTAAACTTGCTTCTCTGTAAACAGAGAATCCTGCATGTCCTTATAAATACTTAAACTTTGTGGGATGAATATTTTTGTCCAAAGAATGTTCAGAATCCTTCATTCAACATGCGAGTGATAAGACAGAAGGGTGATACTGTTTTACTCTGCCACTTCAGTTTGCTCGCATTAAAGATGGGGGCACCAGATCAGTGTTACTGATCAATACTTATTTAATCACTTAATAATCAGACTCATAACCACCAAAGTGGGAGCTTGTATAATTACAGGGAACCCTTTTTCCATAACCAATGAATATTCACACAATGAGGAGGAAACCAGATTTGTCTTTTGAAGTTTTACACAGAAATAAAGAAAAAAACAATATAATAATTAATAAAGTAAATATCAAAAAATAAATTGAACAATTGGATGAACTAATGCTTAGATGTAATGCACATTCAAAGACAAAATAAAGAGTAATCAGGGATTTATTCTGATTTATCAAAACAAAAATAATTTTGGTCAGAATTTTGTTTTATATGCACTGTTTTTAAAGCAACAAGGAAAGAAACTTAGAAACCATTCAAACGAGAGGTTGTAAATATAAAAAACTGTTTTTTTCTTTAAAAGCAAAAAAAGACTAATACATGCCTGAATTCCACATTAAAAACCTAGTTAACATGGATTAYTTCAATGTTAGAAGACCTGTGGATATTAATGTCTTAACAAATTACACACATTTTAACTAGTTTTTCTTCTACAGCTTCGTACTTGTGCAGTTGTCATTGTTTCTGTAAATTCAACATATTTTAATTAAAAATAAYGTGAAAAGTACAAAATAATAAAGTAGGACAAAAAAGAAAACATTGAACCAAGTCTACTAATTTTAAAATTCATATTTATTCCCTTTTTAAACAATTTACAATATTACTTGAACATAAAACGCTTGTAATTTGCTGCTATTTTATTTTCTAACTTTGTATTTTTTCCTAATAAAAAGAGAACATTTACAACTTAAAACACATAAATACATCCTAAAGACTGTACAGACAAATTACCACCTACAAACAGAGAGTGTGTGCTTATTGATATTTTATGTTTATTTTCACAGCACACAGGTGAAAATGGCGACTTGAACGTTTTGCACAGAGGTTTGGTTCTCCTGCAGTTAATGCCACCGGAAAGATTATTACTGTGTGAAGGGAGACCTCTTAATACAGAGCTGGAGGCAGGGGCAGTGGAAATTACAGTGCTGAGGGTTACTGAGATAGCCCCTGCAATCTTGATTATGTCCCCTACCCTTATCCCTTATGTCCACTGGCTACACGCWCACAGAGAGTCCCACAGAGAGAAGGCTTGCCCAGTCCCCCCTGCTCCCAGCTCTCTATCAGCTGCCCCCACAGCTTCCTGCGGCTCGCCCAAAAATAGCACCAGTATCACAAACACGCTCATCCATTCCATATCTCCCTCTTAAACTGTGCTGAATATTATCCTTTCAAAGCAATTTGTAATCACACGGCCCCCCCCCCCCCCACCCCACGCGTGGATTCTAGCAGCCTAAGTGATGCAGAGAGAGGTCCTGTTTGTAAAAGTTGCTGACTGGCTTGCACGGGACAGGAATATGTCTACATTCACAGCAAATTATCCCCGTTTGATATCTTCAGCGAGGAGCCGTGTAAYAAGGATGCACACGACCCGCTCGCTGCCAGACAAAAGCCACCTTGATGCGCGTCCAGCTGAGCAGGAAGTCAGCGTAGGTGATACGTGCCTGGCTGCGGAGGGACAGCTCCTCCTGATGGAGTTGCCCTTTGCATCAGGAGAAAACACCGGCTTGTTTCCAGCTGCCCCYCTTGACCTCCGGTAATAGGTTGAATTTAAAACCCATTTAAAACTGTTGTTCTGTTTTTTTCACTTAATAGTAGAGTTTGCATATAAACAGCATATGCCTCCGCGCTTCACACTGGACTCTCACCGAGTGTGTTAATAGCGCATTACTGCTCAAAGTGAAATAGGGTGTGTGTGTGTGTGTGTGTGCTCAGATAGACAACCCAGAAAGCTGTTTGCAGAGCTGGACGGCAAAGCTTTTTGATGTCATTGCACTAAGACCATTAAATTTGATTGGGAGTCCAGGGGGGGACGGATTCTGCTGAACGCTGTGCTTTGTAAATGAGAGGACAAAGTGTCACCGGGCCTCATGAATATGAAATACCCGCGCCTGCATTTATTTGGATATCAGAAACACAGATGAATCTTGTCAGCGGCTAAACGAGCGTGGCATTTTTAATTTGGTTTAATTAAAAAAAAGAGAAAGAAAGAAGTTATCGGCAGAAGGCGGGGCTTCGGTACCGAGCAAAACTTGACGGGTTATGTTTTGAAATGGTTTTTTTTTATGTTTGTCTTAACTCTTTCCCCATCTGAGAAATACGTCTTGGAATCAAAGTATTTTTTTTCTTTGTTCCACAAGAGATCAATGTTTTTGTCAACTCAGTTTACTTTGAGGGGTTATTTTTAAAGAACAGTGACAGAGATGCCAAGATATTTCCTCACATCAGATTCAGACTTCCATCTCCTCACCTCTATTTAGCTCCTGTATTGACTTTCCCCTCAGGGTGCAGAACTGTGGTTAGAGATTACTGACAACCTTCTTCTTGCAGTCCAGCTCTTTTCTATTTGTCACTTCTTCTCTCTCTCTCTTTCTCTTTTGCAGCCACTTCTTTTCTCTCTTTCTGTTTCTGTCAWCTTGCAGCTGTAAGAGCTAATAAGGCTGTTCAGCCTCCTTCTAGTCCTGAATGTTTTATTCTGCCACATAAATTGAGGACATCAGTATTGCTCTGATTTATTCATCTCTACAGTAATTTAATGTCCATCATGTCTTAACATGTATTTCAGCCTGTTTCCTCTTCATCTCTTGTTATCGCTCTTTTATTTCAGTGCCTTCACATGTCAATCTGAAAAAAAATGCATTGAAAGTTTGCCCTGTCCTTCTTGGGATTGGAGCCGCCCTCTGTCCTGTTGCGTTTTGCCAATTAAAGCGGGTTCCCACTGTCTGAGCAGCGGGCTGCCGGCCCCTGCCAGGCCGCACCGTGACTCCCGACCTCACACAGATGGGCCCGCGAGCAAATACTCCTGTGCGTTTGTGCAACGCAGCCCCAGTCGGAGTGGCAGAGTGGACACGGAGGTCGGCCCGCCGGCCACCGCGGGTCCTGGGGGGGAGGGGGTGCGCGGTGCTGACAGGGCCCAAATGCTAAGGTAGCAGGGGGTGCTTTCTGGGGAGCCCCTGGCCAGCGCCCCTTCTCACAGCAGGATGAGCCGCCGCCTCGCCCTTTGAATATTCATGGCCGCATGGCGGTGACAGGGCAGCTCTTACGAGGATGCAGGCAGCGAGAGGCAGGGAAGGAAGTGCCACACTGATCCGCTCGCACTCCGTTCTACGAACACACACACCTCTTGAGAGCTACGCACAGGAGACATGCCGTGGTTTTTTTGTTTGTTTGTTTTGTTTTGTTTGAGTGTCAGACTTATTTTTGTTTCTCAATATTTTACACCAATTCAGTTAATTATAAAAAATGTTTTTTGCTTTATGTTTGCAGATATTCCAGTGATACCAGACTTAGACGAAGTGCAGGAAGAAGACCTCGCGATGCAAGTTGCTGTTCCACCGAGGTAGCGATCTCATTGAAAGTCACCGTTTGTTCGTATCGCTCCTGAGTTTTGTCCCTGGAACAGGTGACTGACAGTTAACCTCTGACCGTGAACAGGACACCGGGCCCTGCTCTGGTGACTTTGATGGCGCCCGTCCTCCGATCACGTCGTCGCGCCGTGCCTTCCTTTATGTGACTGAAATGGAGAAATAACAGTTTAGTGTGATTTACATGACTCTGCTTCCAGAGTCCGTACCGACTTGGCTCTTTGATTTACAGGGCAGTGAGGGACTCGGCGACATGTGTCGACTGTGTAGCAAGGCTGTGACAGTGGTGGAGGTTATTAGGCAGGGGCTTGCACTCTGTGCGAGATAATATCCACATTGAACTCATTGCAGGGGCAATGTAGCGTGTAATGTGCAGTAAGTAGGACTGGCATGCACTGCTAGGCCCCGGCCACTTTCAGAGCCCCCCTACTTAATTCCAACCCACAGATAAGCAGCTGGGTTTCAATTTGAGGCGTTTAACACTTGGCAACCATCTCCTGCTCTCTGAGGTCTTTGCTTGAAGTCTTAGAGCCTAATTGTGCACAAACTTCAAACTTATCCAAAGCYACTTCTCAGATTTGCTTTGCATGTTATATGAAAGCAGTAACTGAAATACAAGTTTTTTTTTACTCATTTAAATATTTAAGAAACTCTTTTCCCCTCAACTATTTTAATTTCTTGTCTGTCTCAGCATCCAGGTGAATCGGGTGATGACCTACAGAGATCTGGACAATGATCTGAAGCATTTCTCTGCTTTCCAAACCCTAGTAAGTCAAGGACATCTCTTTTTATATTTCCCTACCCCGTCTCCTCATTTCCTCAAGGTGGTCTGTTCAGTTTGTGGCCAGTATCACCTCAGCTTGTGCAAGCTAAGGGAATTTCCACCGCAATCTCTCTTCAGGATGGAGAGATTGACTTGAAGCTCATCACCAAGGTTTTAGCACCGGAGCAGGAGGTTCAAGAGGTGAGTGAAATCTTAGTAAATATAGCTTGTGCGCYCCCAGTGCAGGCCTGTCCAGCTGTTTCCAGAACACCAGGGGAGGTTGCCACTCTTGTCTCCCAGGTAATCAAGATTTATGATGTGTACATTAACACCCTCTGCTGTCCTCCTCCCATTCTTCTCTGGTTGCTCCCTCTGTTCCCCGTGCTCTCTTTCTTGCCACGTATCCGTCTCTAATTCTTCTTCTCTCCCTCTGTTGTGTGACTCCTTTGCTCTGCAGGACGATGAGAGCTGGAGCTGGGGTCATCTGTTTACAGAGGTGTCCTCAGAGCTCCTGATGGAATGGGATCAAGGAGAGAGTGAAGAGTTGGAACCAAAGGGTCAATGACTCTGGTTGCTTTAAGTTTAGTTTGTATTAAAACAACGTTTTTGTAAGTGTATGTACAGTGTTTTTTTTTTTTTAATTTTTACACAAACTTGTTTGTTTCTTTCAAACCTCTTTGTTTCTTTCTAGAAGTTTGAACTTAAACAACCAAAAGGCCTTCGTTCAGATCATTCAGATAGAAATGTCCTCGCTGTACTTGCTACATTATCAACAACAAGTCCAAGGTTGATAATCAGCTAAGCTGAAATCCAGTTGATTGTGTTCAAATTAACATTCCTCATTAAAGCCTCCAACCTTATTGTTATTGACTGTGCCATTGACTTTATCTTGCAGCTCCTCGATAGGAGCATCCCCTTCTTCACTATTATCTCAAATGCATTGAACAAAGTTTCTATTGACAGCTGGGGGATTAGCATACATTATACCTTTTACTGAATTAAGAGGTAGGGATGTAAATCTAGAACAAAACAGCTGTTTTTTTAATAACGTCAGGAGTAAATCCTTCACAGCATTGTGACAACTCAAAATAAAAAACATTCAGAACATGTAAAAAAAGTGTATGTAAATAGAATAGAATAGAATAGAATAGAATAGAATAGAATAGAATAGAATAGAATAGAATAGAATAGAAACAGCCTTTATTGTCCTGCGTGGGGAAATTCAAGTGTAGTAGCAGCAGCAGATGCTTACATCAATCCACAGAAACAGTATATTGCTATGTGACATTATCAATYGGAGCCATAATAGTAGATATTAAAGACAGTAACAATAAAAAGTAAACAAAGAACAAAATAAAAGTAAGAATAATCATTACTGTAACAGGCTATCAAGATGAAATGGGATAAAGGTGAACAAAAGGCATGATACTGTGCAGAAAAWCACATTTGTCACTTGTTATAAAATTCTCTTACAAATGGGGAACAATAAATAATTGACATTGTTTGCAAAGGTTTTACCATGCACAGACGCATCAGCATTCCGTTTTGTCTTTAGTTCATGTGTGTGAATATAAACGCGGGCCTCCAAAGTCTGTCCAGGTCTATTAGGGAAACGGCTGTAACATTTACAGATTGTGATTAGGTTTATTTCTGAGGCAGACATCGGTCTCATGACATTTGGAAATGCACAGCAAAGTCCTCAAGGACACACAACATACGCATCTAACAGCTCAATCTCTGCCCATCACAAATAGATCCAGATTTTTTTTCTTTCATTTGGTGGGCCTTGAATCAACTTCATCAAGTGTAATACCTCAGGATGAAGCTATCACAAGGGATATTTGTGCTCAGAATATTTATATGTGCCACAATATTTGAGCTCAACACAGCACAGCGATGATCTCTGTGCCTCTGTTAGACATACACATGCACCTTTAAAAAAAAAACCTCCTCCACAATTGGCTTGTTTTGCCAGACTTAATGAATTCTGCCCATATGCCCYGAGCAGCTGCTATGTTGCCCCTTCCTCCTGCCCCCGCTGAGCTGCGAAGTGCCCATCCATGTAGAGACAACCTCTAGCTGTCTCTCTGGAGAAGGCTAAGCCTGCCACTCCTCTGCTGGCAGCCAGCCGGTGCTGTCTGAGGTGGACCGMGGATGGACCGAGGACTCAGATTAGGGCCCGGCGATCGCCGGTTGTGGACGGCCTCAAATGACTGGGCCAGGCGTCGGCGGATCAGAGAGAGGATTAGAGTGAGAAAGAGATCCAGAGACGCTGTTTGCCATGTGCTCGCATCCAGATTCTCAAAGTGACCTCTCTGCCGCCTCATCCTGCTGCTCCCCTCTCCTCCTTTATTCTCTCCGTGTCTCTCGGTGTCTGCGGCACATCCTGACRCTGCAGCGAGGCAGAGAATGACCTCTCACTGTCTGGGTGCAGTGAATTCAATCACATCAAAACAACGACAACATAAACATTTCTTGTGAGAAAGATGGCCGTGTTCTGGGAAAGCTCTGGCTTTCAAGCTGTCACTCTGACTTGAACTGAGTTTGAGGCCTAGTTGATTCTTCAGGTCAGAACAGGCCTTGTGCTGTTTTTTTGTTTGTTTGTTTTTTCATTTTGAATTTAAAACAATGGAGCTATTACTATTACAATTCATCCAGTTGTGCATAAGATATTCTGATAGACTCACAGAGTTGACTAAGAGTCCTGCCATGATGATGTAGCTCTTCTGTGCTGGGCCATCCTTTTGAACAGTAGCTGCTTTTTTTCCCCAACATATAACTGATYACATCCCTCCTGGCACTTAACAGCATATACAACATTACTCTGTTTGTGCCGGGGGACCGAATCTTTGGGGTGAACCAGTCTTTAATGTGTTTTGGGGCTTAAAAGCCACTGGGACGTCCTGTTTAGAGAATAAACGTCTCAATTTTGCTGAAACTCCCACAACATACAGAATGACTACTGGTCTGGTCTGGTTTTGGGGTCTTTCTTTTCACCCGATGGCTGGTAGGGGTCCTGGTTGGGTTCTTGTCTGATTTGAGGAAAGCCCAGTTGGGGTAACCACTTTACTTCAGGGGTCTGTCTTTATGTGGCATTTCCCCATCTCTCTGGCTCCTGTGTTTGTGGGGATGCTGTCTGCTTCAACAAAGAAGAACCTATCCAGACGACATATTTATTTAGATCCACATAAGACGTTAAGATACACGTAAACTCCATCATTTACAGAAACAAACAGGTTCTCTCATGTACACTAAAGCTAGTTATTTATGTAAAAACTTATAACCTTGTAAGCTGAGCACAAGTGAGTTTTAAATTGCCAATTTATCCATCCTTTGAAGTACAGTATGTGACTTTTAGTCAGTTTTTTTTTAAAGAAAACTAATTCAGGGCCGTAATAGAACTTTAATAAAAATCTTAACGAAGGACCGATTTACGTAATGCTCTTTCCTGCTTTCCGTTGACAGGCTTGTCCTAAAGTATTTGGATACTGAGCACTAATTGGAAGCACAGTACAGAGATAATATGCTTCCAAGTCTGCGTAATATGCTGTGGTGTTGACAGAAGTTTATACATCTTATCTGTTCTCAATATCTCCCTTCCATATGGTCCAAAAACCAATATGCTTAGGTGTAATTAAAGAGAATGGGGAGATGTAGAGATAGTTTGGGGGGGGGGGGGGTCCTCTTGGACGCAGAGTGAGGGGTGAGGACAGACACGCTAAAGCTCAAGAAATATTAGGCCCAGTTTGTWTCACCAGAGGCCACGTGCCTGTCACAGGCTTGCGAGGAGTTATGACAAGCAGTTCAAAAAAGGCAAAAAGCCACACAGAACGRAATCATATTATACTCATTAAGTTCCAAAATAAAGATTTGCAAGGTCAATTTAGAATCTGACGCCAGACATAATACATGCAAATGCACCCAAACGGAACGCTTTGAAACAAACCTCAAAAAGSAGCTACAGTATTGATTTGCAACAAAGACTCCACGATATTTCAAGTTTAAAGGAGAAATCCTCGACACACAACTAAGGCAGTCAGATCAATATCATTTTTTTTTGATCAAAAGTGAGTTTACCTTTGAAGTGAATAGATTAAACAGATGTTTTATTTTTCATCAGTTACCCTACACCTTTTAAAGCCCTCGGGGGGCTTTGGGGCAAAGGAGGGAGAATTAACTCCACAAAGGAGATAATAAAAGTGTTTTTTTTTTAAGACCAAAAGTTTGATGGGCTCAAAAGTGGGTTCAGCCCCCACACCCCCATTCCTCTTTACTTTAGTTAATATTCCATCGCTCCAAGTCCTTTTTTGTTTACCCCAGGTGGTCTCGGACATGAAATGGTTGGGTTGGTGGCAGCTYGGAAAGCCCCTGGGCATCTCACCGCTGTTGTGTTGTCAAAGAACTAACCGAGAGTGGAATCTGCAAGACCGAGGGGGAAAAAAAAGCTTCAGAGTTTTTATAAGTGAGCTCTGAATCCATAAGTATTACTTTCTGTTGGCGCTTTTGTTTTTAGTGCGGAGGTGTTTTGGAAGGCGAGAAGGTTTGAACATGACATCCAGTCAGGCTCTACATTTGTCATGTATTTTATTATTGCCCCTTCTTCACCTCTCTGTCTTGTAGGCAAGGTCCTTCATTTTTCACATGACTGGTTTTCTTATCATTGTGGCCCCCTCTCCGCTGGCCTATGAGTGACTTAAAGGCAATAAAACACAAAACATTCTGTAAAACACGGGTGCCTCTCTGGTCCGGAGGCCCTGCAATGCCTCTCGGGGAAATTATGATAATAACTCAGAGGCGGTTGGAGTAACCAGGTTGCTGTGGGGGCTGGGGGGGCAGCAGGAYAYRGTTCACCAAGGTCAKCTGTGCTGGGGTGGGTCAAGGTGGCCTGTTGGGCCCTCTCTGCCCCACCTTCCATTCCCACCCTCAGTCATAAACTTTTTCTATCGCGCGGGATGCTGGCTGCAGCCGTGTACACAGCAGAACCTCTTTGTCTTGTAGCTGCTGGCGATAAAGCAGTGGCTGTGCTGGTCTCCTGGCCGTGGAGAGGTCAGTTGAGAAGCTTATCGTGGCCACCAGAGGAAAACGCCTGAGTCAACAAAACGTAGTAATTTGCCCTCTGAGGGGCAAGTCTGCTGTGAACTTGGTACTTTTGTAATTTTGTTCCTCTGCTATGGGGGAAGAGAAGTTGCAGGAGGGGAAGCATTTTATTAGTTGTCTTGTTGAACTGTGTCTGGTTTGTCATTTTTGGTGGTCTGGATTTGTTGCCGGGTGGAGGGAGGGGCTGGACGCAGTCCCTCAACACCTTTCTGAGCGTGTGAATGAGAAGGAACGAGGACAGGAAGGGAACGCGGGCTCCACCGCAGAGGTGCTGACAGAGGGGGTGGAGGGGAGCTGAGACTGCACCTGTTCCGGCCCAGCACCTTCCCAGCAGGACCTCGTCAGGATCTCAGCCTTCTCCTGGCATCTGTGAAGGGGAGCTGGGGGCCAGTCCCACCTCCAGCRTTTGCTCCACCTCTTCTCGGCTCGTGGAAGGAAGACGAGAGTCGCTAGGGGCTCCATCTGCCGAGGGCTCGACACGATCTCCGCTGCCCGCCTGGGGAAGGGGGTTGCTAGTCCTCTATAACTCTGCCATGGGGGTCTCACAGTGGTAGACCACAGCGCAGCACATCACACTTCACTTGCCAGCTGGCCAGACTTTCTCCCCCTGTAAACCGAGACTAATGACCACTCAASACACACACTGAACTCTCATCTTGTTGTGGAGAGGGAGACAGTGTAGGTGAAAAGAACTTGCTCTGTTTGGGTAAAAGAAAGCCACCTGCTGAGGGTATCCTTACATATTTTTGAGCTTTGGGAAGGG